AGGAAAGAAAGCCCCTTTTTGTTTTAGGAAATGGGATTTGCTGAACACCTTGTTTCATGCTGGTGGAATTTCTCGAGTATTTGGAATTATGATTAATCCTAGGTATGAGGCTTTCGGAGAACTTAACTGGGCCTTTTTTTTTTGGATACCTGGTACCTCCATGTAGCCAAAAAATTTTAAAGCCTAGTGGTATGTTGAATACAATGTTCTAGAGAGGGGCTGCAAAGAAGTAAATCTTCCACATACTGAAGCAAAATGCTAGGTTGTAGAGGTAGATGGGAAGATCCATTTGAAGTGCCTGACTGAAATAGTGAGGGCTGTCTCTGAATCCCTGTGGGAGGACAGTCCAGGTGAGTTGTTGGGAGTAGCCTCGGTCAGGGTTGGTCCAAGTGAAAGCAAAACAATTTTGAGAGGAGGGATAGTAAAAACGGCATCCTTGAGGTCTAATACAGAGAAATGGTAAGTGTTGGGAGGAATTCACAGCAGAAGGGCTTGGGACAATAGCACAGACAGGAATAATAGCAGAGTTGAGTTGTCACAAATCCTGAACCAGTCTGTAGGAGCATCCAGGTTTTAAATTGGGAGAATAGGAGTATTGTGGGAAGAATGGATGGAGATTAAAATATTGGCAGCCCAAAGTCAGGAGATGATGGGCTTGAGTCCCCGTAAGCCACTAGGGTTGAGGGGATATTGTGGAACCACCATAAAGTGCTTAGGATTCCTTCAGTGAAATTTGAACTGGAGAATGGTGGGTAGCTATCATGGTGGGGGAGTCAGTGTATTATACAATGGGGTTTACATGGCTGAGGATTTGGGGATTTAAGTCTGTTTGATGTGGAGTGTCTGAGGTGGGTTCTGTTCTTGACATAATAATTAGTAAGGGTGACTTTGGTGTAGGGTTGATAAATGAATACACTGACCGAGGCTACTCCCAACAACTCACCTGGACCGAGAATGATAGCTTTCAGCTTCATCCACATTTCTGCAAAGGACATGGACTAGTTCTTTCTTATGGCTGCATAGTATTCCATGGTGTATATGTGCCACATCTTTATCCAGCTATTGTTGATGGGCATTTGGGTTGGTTCCAAGTCTTTGCTATTGTGAATAGTGCTGCAATACACCTTTATGTGCCTGTGTCTTTAGAGTAGAATAATTTCTAATCCTTTGGGTATATACCTACTAATGGGATTGCTGGGTCACATGGTATTTCTGGTTCTATATTCTTGAAGAATTACCACCCTATCCTCCACAATGGCTGAACAACAGTGTAAAAATGTTTCTATTTCTCCACAGCCTCACCAGCATCTGTTGTTTCCTGACTTTTTAATAGTCACCATTTTAACTGGTGTGAGATGGTATCTCAGTGTGGTTTTGATTTGCATTTCTCTAATGACCAGTGATGATGAGCTTTTTTTCATATGTTTGTTGGTCACATAAATGTCTTCTTTCGAGAAGTGTCTGTTCATATCCTTCGCGCACGTTTTGATGGGGTTGTTTGCTTTTTCTTGTAAATTTGTTTAAGTTCCTTGTGGATTCTGGATATTAGACCTTTGTCAGACGGGCAGGTTGCAAAACTTTTCTCTCATTCTGTAGGTTGCCTGTTCACTCTGATGATAGTTTCTTTTGCTGTGCAGAAGCTCTTTAGTTTGACTAGAACCCATTCATCAATTTTGGCTTTTGTTGCAATTTCTAGTGGTGGTGTTTTATATGGGGTTTCTTATATACCCTTCATGTCAACAACAAAAGTGGATGAATGTTCTAATGGGCATTGATACTCAGTTAATACTGATAGACTCACCCCAGTATCGAAAGAAAGAAATAGTCTTACTGGATACCGTCCCAATTACCCTGGGTTCCATGGACTCACTAGACATGGGGCCAAAGAATTCCAGGTACCCTCAATCTTCCATTGTCAGCACCAGCAGTGAAGAGATTTCCTCCAGTGATGATTGGTGGGCTTCATTATGAGCTGCACCTAAATGGGGAAGGTGTCCCTGTTGAGATCAGTCCATTTTCCAGTGTCCCTAAGTACCACAAGTTGGACACAGTTTGGTAGGAGGCCAGGGGTTGGGACAAGCCTTTGCTCAGTGTTCAGGGATGTCACATCAGAAACAGACTTCTGGAGAGGTGGGGGAGTCTCCTTTTGGGTTATTGAGAGGCTTTTGTGTAACTGACCTTTGAACAGCAGAGGCGAGCATTTGGTATTTTAAATGGAGATGTTTGTCTTTTTGAATTTTTTGTTCCTCGTCTCTGTTGCTGAAGACACAGGGGCTGCATTTAAGAGGTCCTGCTGAGATATCTGGGGACCCTCCTCAAATTTTTGTCATTTTTTCTGGATATCTGGGGTGGATTGGGAAATAAATTGGACATGGAGGAAAGTTGGACATTTTCTAGATTCTGGGTTCAGATTGGTATATTTTAGCATAGCTTCAGTAAGGTGTGATAGGAAAACGGCAGGATTCTCCTTGGGCTCCAATGTAATTTCTCTAAGTTTCTCATAATTAACTGCCTTCTGGGCACTTTTGTCCATGCCTGCGAGGAGACAGGCAATTATGCGGTCTCTTCGCCAGATGCCATCGTCTTCCAGTTGGTGAGTCCAGCCTGGGTCTCTACAGGGGACTGTATCATTGGCCACTGGATTTTGTATAGAGGCTTGATTGTGGAGCTCATCTGCATGTGTTTCAGCTGAATGCCAGATGTGTTATTTTTCATCAGGTGTGAAGGTAGAGGTTAGAGTTATGTAAATGTCATGCCAAGTTAAATCAAATAATTTGATTATGTGCAGGAATTCCGTGCAATAATGAGAGGGATTTTCAGAGAAGGATCCCAGATGCTGTTCGAACTGCGACAACTCAGACATGGTGAAAGGAACATGAATGCAAACAATGCATTCACCCCCAGCCAGCCGCTTCGTGAAGAGGGAGAATGGAAGAGGTAGTGACTGGCTGGAGTCGTTTTTGAGTGGGTAACAGGTGGAGAAGGAGGAGGAGTGGGGTTTGGGGCTGAAGGCTTGGGCGCAGGAGGGCCACCAGGGTGGAGGATTCAGACAGGTGAGGAGTGGATGCATGAAAATGAGAATACGGAGGGGATTCATCTGCAGGGCCAAAAGGGGTTTGAAGGAACGAGTTTCAGAGGAAGGAGAGATCAGGAGGGTTTTCATTAAGAAGAATAATTTCGTGAGGGGTACAAGGTTGATATATGGAGGGTCAGGATCTAAGGAAGAAGAAAGACTCAATATAGAGAACCTCTTGCCATTTGTCATTCCTCGTTGTAAAGTTGTCAAGGTCTCTGAGAATTTGAAAGTCAAAGGTGCTGTTCTTGGGCCATCGGCTGTCATTATCTAATCTGTATTGGGCCCAGGCTGTGTTGCAATTAAAAACTAAATGCTTTAGCTTTTTGCTCCCCGGTAAGCCAAGTTTGGCAAGGTTGTGAAGGAGATAGCCCAGTGGAGAGGACGTAGTAGTGTGGGCTTGTTTGACAGCGATTTGGACTAGTTAGAGGAGGCCAACGGTGTCTGCTTTTGTTCTAGGCATTCCCAGATAAAAGACAGAGACCCAGAATCCTCTTTCTAATGAGGACAGTTAAGCTGAAAAGAAACAGGCATCCTCAAGATTCCTTCTTGCTTAGTCCCACTGGTCCTCTAAGGACCGGGATGGCAGACCTGACTTTCTCAGGTACCACAGAAAGCCAGGGAAAGGCAGATCTTACCAGTCTGCTGGATTAGTGTCTGATGTTGGATGTTCTGGTTGGAATCAGCAAAGGGCCTAAAGCCGTGCAAGGAAGAGAGAGAGAGAAGGGAGGATGAGAAAGGAGGAGGGGACGGGGGTTAGAAAGTGAAATACCCATTGTGGGTGGTGAGAGATGGATTCCTCAGACCTGAGGATTTTGAGAACACATCGGGGAGTAGTCCCGGCTTGAGCTTTGTAGTTCCCTTCAGGTTAGCTGTCTTCCTCATGCAAATCACTCAAAATGTGAAGTGAGAGACAAGATGGGGTAGGTGGCCAGAGACCCTCAGGATCCAGGAGTTACCCTGGGATGAGCTGCCACTGCCCATTGCTTCCTGGGTTGCGTGAGAGCCTCTACCCCCCAACACCCATCCCAGGTTTCAGCACCAAATATAAGAGTTAAAGAAAAAGGAAAGAAACACAAAAAGTGTTTCAACTGTCAGAGACAGGTTCATTCTGGAGAGGGCTCCTGGCTGATTCAGTCAGATGCCCTCTCTCTTACATACTAAGAGTATGAAAGGGTTTAGGGTAAAAGAGTTTATCACAGGCTTCGAATGTTTCTGTGTGGAGGAGACGTTTATTGTGGGGTTGGAATGTCTGTTCAGAGGGGAGGTAATCTTGGGGTTGGCATCTCTCCAGTTTAAGGGCAGGTTATTTCAGGGCTGGCATGTCTCTGGTTGGAGAGGGGCTTATCTCAGGGTTGGAATGTTTCTGGTTGGAGGTGTCATTTGTGATTTATGGTCATGCTGACATTAGCCTTTAGGCTGATGCTTTTTCGGTGGGTTTAGGCAGTTTTTGATCAAGCAAAACTTTAAAATGGCCTTGCAGCCAAGATGGTGATGCTCCTGCTCTGTCAGTTATCTTATTCTCTTGGTCTCACTTCTCACTTCTGTCACTTCCCAGACTGGAGAGTTTTGGTACCATCTAGGGCGGAAAATGGGGAGAAAATTTCTCATATTGTTTTTTAGTCTGCTCAAACATCTTTGGAATTTTTTTTTTTTAATTTTTCTTTTCAAATGCAAGTTATTGAGTGTAAAATACTTTATTTCAATTTGTTTCTTCTGCAGCTGTTAGAATTCTATTTTTAAAACTAAAAACCTAGGCATTACTTTTTTTTTTTTTTTTACATAAAAACACTACACAGTAGGCAGAAAGTATGCACTATTCTCACTGATACCCAAGTGGGTAGGGAGAGAAAATGCAAAGAAGTACAAGAAGGAAAAAATGATTTATTATGTTACAATATCATTTTGGCACATTGGTTTTGTGGTATCAATATGACCTGAGATAAGGGGCTGATACATCTGCTAAAATTCTGACATGAGGTCTTCCATTCTCAGGGATGACCTGAATCATGCCTGACAAAAAGACAGAAAAGTACAGACTACATAAAGACACCACAGATGAGTTGTTTTTTTTTTTTTTTTTTTTTTTTTTCAGATTCTGCATTGCAGTGACCAAGAACTAGGTATATAGTTGGGTGGAATGGTCCAGGTCTCTCTGTTAGAGGTAGGCAATGAATAGAAGAGTAGATTGGAATAATTCATAAGAGTAGGTGATCTCTGAAGGGAAAATTATCTGTAAGTTCCACTCAAAAGGGAAAGGGAGGAAAGCATAGAAGGGGCATCACGATGAACTGAAACAGAGAATGGGTCTAGGTCATGTAGTCCTCCTCTTTCTTGTAAAGACTGATTACCTGAAATATCAAGCCACATGAGGTTGGTGGGTTCCATGCTCCTGTCTCAAGGCCAACCCAGTCTCTAATTTGCCCACAACCTTTCCAAACACATTTAGATATATAGGATGCAAATCCTCCACTCCCAGCTTCACTTCCTCCAGATGAACATTGTTCCAGGTATGACACATCTGAGTCCTTACCTTTCTGTTTTCTAGGCCATAACTCATGTGGTCATTTGGGGGCTGGAAATACTATGTGAATGCAGACCTCAGATAATGAGGATGGTGCCCATCAGAATGCCCACGAGGCCTGCAACCAACTTGAGGTTGCAGATTTGCTTTACACCAAATGGTCTCTGTCAGCTCTGACATAGGGGTGGAAATCTCAGGTTCTGAGAAAAAAGAAACAGGTAGGATCACAAGGATCACAAACAGGTAGATTTGTGTGTGCATTTAGAAATGTACAAGACTCCTAGACTTTGGGAGAATAGTGAAACCAAGTATTATAAAACTTTGCAATTGTGGGAAATGAAGTTGTGGCAATGAGGGCTAAAGGTCATAAGACAATGTGGACTTGGGATAGAATCAGAGAATATACACACCATGGAAGGATTTAAAGATACCCCAGTGCTTGAGGAGTGACTCTTCCAGGCCCCAGTGCTCCATCTTGTAGTCATAAAAATCATCAATGGAGGGGAGAAAAGTGAGGTAACTGAGCCCGAGGAAGGAGCGGTCACTCATGGAGTAGAAAGTTGTCTCGGAAATACCTTCTGGAACTAAGCGTCCATTTTAAAACCAAGTGATGTTGATCACAGGAGGAAAGATGTTGTCCACTAGACAGGTGAGAGTGTTGGGAACACCCAGGACCGCAGAAGATATGAGAAACACAGATACTTCAGGACGTTCTGCAAGGAAGATAGTGCACTTGTTTGAGTTTACAATTACCATGCCTTGAGTTTATTGAACATCTTGGGGGAGGCTTTCCATTCACAATTCCTTAGCTGTTTGTGAGATTCTTCCTGTCCTTTCAAAAAATAGGTGCAAACTTCATCTTATCTGTATGAAACTCAAAACACTTCCTTGCCTTTGGGGATTTACAGGGAAGTGTGTGTGTGTGTGTGTGTGTGTGTGTGTGTGGCCATGCACATGTGCACGCCAAGAGGCCAAATGGTGGGAACATTCTTATTTAGGAACACAATGAGTATCTCACGGAAACTGGGGAAAAGATGTTTAAAGATTAAATGAATATGATGTCAAATGAATATTTGTCAGGAAATGTACTGGGAAGGAGGAAAATTTATAGTGCAATGGGAAGAGAAGCTAACCCTGGGGAAGGCACAGATGAGACCTAGAATGTGAGATACATGGAGTGAAGACAACTAGAACCGTAGACACTTACCATTCATGGCAGGTGTAAAGTTAGAAACTTTAATCAAGCTGTCTAAATTTCCTTTTGCCACAATTATGTTTCTCAGGGCATTCCGTGTTTCAAATATGGTAAAATTGCTGAACTTAGGCAGCCTACACACAGTCTTCTTTTTTTCCATTTCCACGGCTCATCTCCATCAAATTCACATGTAAACTAGCCAAAGGCACCATATGTCTGATAGACATTTGTGCCATAAGTGCCCACATGGTTATCTGGTGACTGACCATTCCAGACCAGGAAGATAAGAGTAGGCAGGCAGAATACAGAGGAAAAAAAAAAAACCAAATTAAACAAAAAAGCGTAAGAGACTGTGCTCCAAATATCATAGTGTCGTAGTCTGTTTGGGCAACTATAACAAAACACCATAAATAGTGTATAGAATTCTGCTTCTGGCCTCCCAACATTAATATTCTTCTTATATACAAAATATATTTATTCCATCCCAACAGTTTCAAAAGACCTAATTTATTCAAGCATCAGTATTAAAGTCTGAAGTCTCATCTAAATATGGTCTAAGTTAGATATGTGGAAGATTCAACATACAAGTTATTTTGAGGTAAATTGCTCTTCAGCTATGAACCCGTGAAATCAAACATGTTATGCACTTCCAGAATACACTAGTGGGACAGGCATAGGATAGACATTCCCATTCCAAAGAGAGAAATAGGGAAAACGAGAGGAGTGAGAGGTCTCAAACAAATCCAAAACTTTACAGCTAGAGAACAACAATTTTTGGCTTGAAGCCTTGACTTGGGTTGGAGATCCCACTTTCTGGATTCACTGGGGCAAAGGTTGGGCCTCCACATCTTCAGAGGACACTGCCCTCATGTCTTTGGGCAACTCTATCCTTATGACAATTTGTTATGGTGGCCCCTCCTCTGCAGTGGCTTAGGGCCTGGGTCATGAGTCCATGTCTTATCCCTGTGGTTGTGCTGCATATTGTCCCAGCAAGGGCTCTCTGAAGGCCCCACACTCACAAGGGCTGTTTCACTCTGGGCCTGTGTTGAGAGTGGCAATTCCAAAGATCTCCAAAATGCCTTTGGAGCCATTTTTCCATTGTTTTGGACCACGGGTCCTGGATTCTTTTCAGATGGCTAATGAATCTCCCCATTGTCTTGATTAATACCAGCTGGCTTCTGTTCAGTGGCTGATCCATACTAATCTCCTAGTATGGTGGTCCCTTGGCCACATCCATCTTCTAGTGGTCCCTTGGCCACATCCATCTTCTCTCCAAAATATGCTTTCTAATATTTTATAATATGGGTAGGCTGACAATTTTCCAAATTTTAAGTTCTGCTCCCTTTTGATTCATAATTCTATTTTGAATAATTTGTCTTTTCACAAAGTACTATAAATAGTCAAGAGAAGTGAAGCTGCACCTTAAACACTTTGCTTAGAAATTTCCTCAGTCTGAGACTTTCATAGCAAGTGCAGCTGAACCTGGGACGGTCCAGCTCTGTGGGGGAGGGGTGTCCACCATTACCGAGGCAGCCCACCAGGACGGAGGTAGTCGGCCAATGCTGAGGCAGCCTGCCGCTGCCAAGGCAACCTGCCATTGCTGAGGCAGCCCACCATTGCCAAGGCAACCCGCCACAGCAGAGAGACTCCACATCAACAGAGGCGGGCCACCATCACCAAAGCAGTTCTAACTACACCCATATAAACAGGACTGCAGGAAAGTTCACTCGGCAGCGGGGCGGAGCCCACAGCAGCTCAGCAAAGCCTCTATAGGCCGACAGTGACTAGGCTGCCTCCTTGCTGGGCAGGGCAGGTCTGAAGGCAAAAAAAAAAAGAAGTCGGCAGCATAACAGAAACTCATAAATAAAGCCCCAAATCCCTGGGAGATAGCACCTGGGAACAAAAAGCAGCTTATGAGTTCTGCTGCAGCAGACCTAAACATACCTGCCCAGCAGCTCTGAATGAACAACAACAGAGCTCACAGCTCACCATTTGAGCTCCTATAAAGAAGAGACCGTCTCCTCAAGCAGCTCACTGACCCCTATATATCCAAAGAGACACCTCATAAAGGAGAGATCAGATTGACACTAGGCAGGTATCCTTCTGGGACAAAGATAGCAGAAGAAGAAAACTGGTAACAACCCTTACTGTTCAGCAGCTGCTGCAGGTGAACCCCAGGCAAGCAGGGCATGGAGTGAACCTCAGCAGACCTACAGCAGAGGGGCCAGACTGTCAGAAGGAAAACCAAGAAACAGAAATAACCTCATCATCAACAAACAGAACGTCAATCTGATAGATTTGAGACCCAATCTGAAAGCCAGCAACTACGAAGTCGACAGGTGCATAAATCCTTAAAGATGGGAAGAAACCAGCACAAAAAGGATGAAAACACCCGAAACCAGAACACCTCTCCTCCTAAAAGGGATCACAACTCCTCACCAGCAAGGGAACAAGGTTGGA